CATGAATGATGAATTCGCTGATTATTTCATACATATGGAAGCTTCACGGATATTTTCCACTTTTCACCTCAACTACACTAGCAATAGGAGGATAATCGAGATCTGCTTGATACATATATATATATATTCTCATATGCATTAGGGACTTTGTGTTGCACTTGGGTTTTTTAACTCGGTGCAAGATGACAAGGGCATCTTATTGTGCGGGAATTGAAGAGTTTGTTATCTTATTGCCGAGAGTGCATGTTTGTTTTAGCTGTGTTTGCCTGTTTGGTTGGCAACATCTCGAGGAATCGAAAGACAATAAAATGATATCTTCACCTTCATTTTGAGCCATCCAGCAATCTGTTATATCAGTGCAGTTTTCTAGTCTTCAAACTCATTCATGCTGTCAGATAATAGCAGGCTTTTCTGCATGTATGAGCGGGTATAAGCATTGAAAGTTTGTATCTGAATTTATAGCCTTTTTTTCTTGACAATTGGTATAAAGGAAAATGATGTTTTAGTCTTGCATATGAAATGCGTTTTTCAAGCTTTATTTATCGGCTGTATCAATATTTTGGATGGACATTTCCCTCAATTATTATCTATTTAATCTTTCCAGGCTGCTGGTTTCTGAGTGAACTTTGCATGGCCCACAATGTTTGCATATGTAGTGAAAGCAAAACTAAGTCAATAGTTCAGGCTTGATGATATTTGCAGTTACGATTTCAAGAGGAATGAATTGAATTAACCAAACTCTTTAGGATTCTGTCTCCTTTCCTTTTCTCTTGCTAGGATCATTTCAGGCAAGTGTATGATTCCATCTTGCATGTTTGCTATTGACTTGGTCTCTAGGGAATGTAAAATAGATTTGTCCAAATTGTTCGCATGGAGTACTGAGGCTGATAGTTTAAAGTTCCAGAAAGAATACTGGAGTCATCAGATATGTCCTTATTGAATGTCATCTTTCCATCAGATTTAGCTATAGTTTTGCTTCTCCTCTGTTGTGTTCCCTCCAGGCTTTTCTTCTTTCCCCTTCAAAGTACACGATTGCTTTCAGGATGGTTGTTTTGGTTCACTCATGGTGGTTTTCAAACCGAATTTGTGGCTGAACAGACAAACTTGTTTACACATTTTGCAGCTATCATTATCAGGCTTTCAGCTGTTCATGCTATCATGTAGTAGTATGATTATCGTATCAGTCTACATTTGTTGATTTGAACAAGTTGTTAATGTTTGTAGCAAGGATTCACAAGGCATCATCAACCCCCTAACATGCAGGCTATATGTTCTGTTTCCTGCATGATCTTGACCCTAGTTGTAAGGCATATGGCTTGGAGGGTCAACCTGCAAATCTGCAGACTCGGAGCCTAGACAATTTATAAATGGTAACATAAAATTTATAATCAGGATCCGAACTACTGCTTCGTTAGATCCGGCGTGGTGCTGCGCTTATGGTTGCAAATTTCCATTTCCAATCATAGATTCATTAGCAGAAACAAAGCTTAAAATTCAATTTCTAGTCATGCACTGGTAATCCAGCCTAAAAATCCACTTTAAGAGAGATTCACTTATATTTGAAATCTTATCCTTAACTCAGCTATCCATTTATGGTTGTCTCATGTTGAAATCTTATTCTTGTGAAGCCTATATTTTAAAATACATCACAGCGCATGCAGGCTTGGTTGAAAATCTCAATAATTGTAGTTTTCTATATTACAATATAAGAGGAAGGCGGCCCGATCCTAGCAGAAACAAAGCTTAAAATTCAATTTCTAGTCATGCACTGGTAATCCAGCCTACAAATCCAATTTAAGAGAGATTCACTTATTTTTGAAATCTTATTGTGAACGCAGCCATCCATTTATGGTTTTGAAGCATGTTGAAATCTTATTTTTGTGAAGCCTATATTTTAAAATACATCATATTGCATGCAGGCTTGGTTGAAAATCTTAATAATTGTAGTTTTCTATATTATAATATAAGAGGAAGGCGGCCCGATCTGGTAGCTCAAGATCCTTTGAATCTGTGGGTGGAAAAAAAATAAAATAGAAATAGAAATGGTGTCAAAACAATGAATACATGTGCCTTCGTGCAAAGTTTGACCATAGGATTTGGATACATAGTTGTTAAATTCTACTAGGCCTTACGAATTGATTTAGAAAATTCATAACTCAGGATCTGACTTATGTTAGGGTTTAAGTTGAACTACCTGAGTTTTTAATAATTTTATTGATTAATTTAAACTTGATTTAATCATATTAAATCAATATCAATATTTTCAAAAATAAAATAAAATAACATTATTTTAATAACAAATAACTCAAATATGTTTTGGAGTTTATCAGGTTTATTTAACAACTAATTTATACAATTTTAACTCAATCAATTCCATAATAATACTTTTGAAAACATACTTAATTACTAAAACAAACATTCCTTGAGTTTTTGTAAAAAAAAAAAAGATTGGTTAATAATTTTTTTAACAGGCAACAATTTAATATTTATATAAATTTCATTATGCAAGCTAGCAGCATAGGCACACCAACCAAGTTATTAAAGAACGCTAGAGAACAAAGAATGCCTGATAATTTTAAAAAAAGAAGGACCAAATCATTTTTTTTTTTTAAATTCAAGCTAAGTTTTTTTTTCTTTTATAAAAAAGGAAACTCTATAAATAATATTATTTTAATTTTATTTGAAATAATATAATTTTATAAAAAACTATTTTCAGAAATTTAAATCTGATAAAATAATTCATCACATTATCCTGTTATAACAAGCCAAGTTAAATATGTATAATAAGCCTGAATTTTAACTATAATTAAAAATGAAATGAAAACATATTGTCCTATATATTGAAAAACAAACAAGATTTTTTTTATTACTATTCATACGAAAAGAGTTTCATAAATATATTTTTTTCAATCTTGTCAATTTTTTTATTTTAACCTTAAACCTTTTTAATAATTTATTGAGATATATTTGGAACAACTAGAACGGCTAGATCATATTACAATATTTTTTTATTTAGATTAAATAAAAAATCAAGTTAATAGTTTTTTTAATTTTATTATTTTTTATCAATTTTATTTTTTAATTTTTTTCTTCAATTAATTGATTTACTTTTAGATTAATCAATTTAACTTTATTATATCAAAATAATTTTCCTATTATTTAATTTTAGAACTAAATCAAGTAAGGAATTGAATAAAAAGGTTTTTTATGTTAATTTTATTATTATTCTTTTAATTTTATCATTATTTTTTTAATGATAGGTTATTTTTAAATTAATTAAATTAATTGAGTCACATTAAAATAATATTTATATAATTTAATTTAATTTTAAATTAAAAAAATTAGATAAAAAATCTTAAAATTACATATTGAAAAAGTAATTTTTATAATGGGCTCATCCTTTAAACATCCTTAAAAACATTATCTTTATCGATTGGTTCATTTAGAAAGCGTTTGATATTGAGGTTGCGGCTGAGGTTAATACTCAATCACAAATATTAATGTCTGGTTAAGTTAAAAACTGAGTTTGGTTATTGCGGGTGTGACTACGGTTTAATAAAAACAGAGTTTACATGCTTTTGAGTGGTTCAGCTGCTCAACTGTTCACATGAACAGTTGAGAGATGGAGAGGGAATCATAACAAAAAAAAAAAATACACTTGCAGTATTATTAGGTTAACTAATGATAAGGGAAAGAATTAGAAGTAGTATGGCTGTAGTATGAGTCGGAAGCAGCATGACTTAAGTGAAACAAAGCTTGCCTTTGCATTATTATACCAGGTTTTTGCTTCAGAAGCCAGACTAATAAAGAAAGGCTCTTTCCTAATTGTTGCCATGCTTCTAACTATGAACGATAATTAAGTCGGGGTTTTTGAGAAATAGAGAGGTGCAGACTTTACAGTACATGAGAAACTAGAGAGAGAGTCATGCTTCTCTTCTGTTTCCTAAAACAACATGATATTAAAGTATAGTAAAGTAAGCTGCAAGAACAGGATAGCAACAAGTCCTGTGGAGGTGCTCAGTTGCAGAGAAGCCACTGTCACAGGCTGAATTAATACCATGATAAAGCTCACTGGGAAGGTCTAATGGGCAACCAGCAAGGTTGGATTGTTCAGGAAATGCAGGGATTGTTGTTGGTGGTGATAGGTTCGGTTTGGGCAAACCCAAAAGAAGAAGAGGAAAGAGAGCGAGTAACAACCCGAAAGTTATGTTGTTTAGGGACAATTCACTCTGCATATAAAAGTGAACAATACACAGTGAATTAATTCATTTTGTACTGTTTACGTGTTCTGTTTATATCAATAATAAAATTTTTTATTTTTTTATTATATTTTATTAAAAAAAATATTATTTAATATTATTCAATAACATTATAAAAATTACTTGATAATATAATATTTGTAAAATTTAATAACAATCTTAATTTTATTTTATTTAATATTATTATGTATTTAAAAAATTAAAAAAATTATAATCATTATTAAATATATTTTATATATAATGAAATCATAGATATTTTAATAAAATAATAAAAAATATTTTATATAAAATACTATTTCTTTTATAATATAATAACAATAATTAAATTTATAATATTTAAATTAAAAATCATCAATATTAATATATATATTTTTTAAAATTATTTTACAATTTTAAATTTTAAAATATTTTTAATCAAATATATTAAATTATTTTTTAATTAATCTTAATTTCAATTATAATTTTAATTAAATATATATTTTTTCAAATTAATTTCAATTAAAAATATTTTTTATAAAACATTTTTTTTTTTTCCGATCACAGCGCAACAGCAACCGCTGTAATAAACTTATTCGTGGAACCAAAAGCAAAAGCATAAATAAATAAATAAATAAAAACGGTCTCGTATCTATCCTAGCAAGGAAGAAGAGACCAAAGCAGAGAGACTGTACCCTGCGAAAACACAGAAACAGAACAGCACTTACACTTCTCTATCACACATTCTTGACCGTACGATCCAGTCAACTTTCATACAACCAACGGCTCTGATCACATCACCTTCAACAACTGTAAGTTTGATTCTTTTTCTATGTTTCTCTTCCAGATTGTGATTTATCTTTCTGGGTTTTGGGTCTTTAGCTTGGTCAATCAGATCAGCTCTTGTTGTTTTAATGTTTGTTTGGCTTGTTGAGTTGTCTTGGAAAACTTGTTTGGTTACTGAAGAGAAAAGCTTGGAACTTGAGCTGGCATTTTTGGAGTGTTTGTGTTTCTCTTTTGTGTTTGTTTGTGTGCTGTTTCCTTTTGGGAAGTGTGATATATATATATATATATATATATATATATATATATATATATTATCTTAGATCCTACCAATCTAGCCAAATATATAAACTTAAGCATACCTTTTTTTGGGGGGGACTAGAGGGGTTGACATATGATATTTATTGTCAAGTCTGGTTGGATAATAACATAGTAGAGAAGGGTTTTAAGTTTTGTTTATTTTTTAGCAACGTGCAACATTGAGTTCTACCATATGAAAAATCTAGCGGCTGTATTTTTTTTCCTTTTAATAATTTTGTTATAAGTATAGAGTCTGTTACACTAGATTGATATGATTGAGGTATTTTCTTTGTGCAGCTTATGGGAGGATTTTCTGTGTTTATATTTTAAAGAGCAGTTATAGGTTAGTTGGTGATCCATGTTATATTTATTTATAGTGATTTGCTTTTCATAACATGTTGTAATGGTACGTTTTGTACTGTATTTTGCCTGGTATGCAAGCGATGCATAGGTACTTTAGTGGAATCTTAATGTGTCAACGGGGGAAGGAAAGAACCTGCCAATGAAAAGGGAAAAATTACCTAAACTACAGAAAAGAGGGGGTTAACTCCAAATGATGAACATTTCAGTATCTAAATGTTCATAAATAACTTGTTTTTCCATTGTTTTTCAAAAGAATTTGTAAGCCTTGGTTCTTTATCTTTGTTCTGTTTCTAGACTTGTATTTACAAGGATGTCTCGTCCTCCTTTTATGGACCCCCCCCCCCCGGTTATG